GGGGAATGGGAAAAGGAGAGAGGGAGTTAAGGAGAGAGGCCGAAAGGGAGGGAGATAGAGACTGATTTTGACACTCAAATTTGTCCTTAATTACCTTGATCATATATGTTATTTCTGTATACTGCTAATACTGTATATGAACAGAATACTTTACTACTATTTTTGTACCTCTGCTGATTATTTAACACGAAAGTCAAAGAAGAAACAGAAAATGAAACAAGAAAAACAGAGAACACTCACTTAAGCTCACAGAATCATCGGAAATATTAAAACGTAAAAGATATGTGATTCATATTTGGTTATTTTTCATATTTCGTTATTTTTACTCATTTTGTTCACCGATAATTGTGTTCAAAGTTACTCAAATTCCTCAGAACATGTTAAAAGTAATAGAAAAATGTGGTTTAAACAGTCATGTCGTCTAGATTACGCAATGTTATGCCATACGTTGGTACCTCTGAACTAGGTTGGCACAATAAACTCAAGGAGGTGTACTTTTATCCCACTGACAGCATACCCGTGACACCGTTGGATATATTTGACTTTTGTTGGTATATTTAGCCAAAACATGTACTCTTGACATCAGTAAGTATACTTAAAGGAGCTATGTATATTTCATAGCTATATTATATGTTAATTCAGGTACACTATATGACGTTGGGTACGTGGTAGAAAGTGGGTACATGGATTATGAACCGTATCAATGTTGACAAGTGTAGAAAAGGTATGAATGAGACTGGATATCTTCACAATACAAGAGATGTATTCGACCGGTTTCGATTACGTCTTCATCAGAAATACAGACGTAATGGAGACCGGTCAAATACATCTCTTGTATTGTGAAGATATCCATTATCATTCATACCTTTTGTACATGGATTATCATTGCAGGGCAAAGATTACAACTATTATTATTAATGGAATATCGTAGACATTTTTTTTTTTTTTTTTTTTTACATATTCAGGGGTACTGTTCCACACTCGGACAGGCTGATGCAGTGTTGAAGTTTGTGATGAATGTAATTTATACTTATTCTAGTTCTGAAACTATAGTTATATCATTGACGGTCTTGCATCCAGTGTGTATTATAACGCATGTTGAGCTTATATGAGCATATGGATTCATTTGCTTAGTGCTTTAGACCTTTGATTGGTTTTCTGGTGTGCTGGGGGTGTCACACTAGCACGATTTCCGTGGTTCTTTCAAATTTCCGTGTTTTTTTCGCTACCGCTGGCATATTGGCCGAATGCAATAATTTCCAGTCAAACGATAATTATCATTTTCGTTGGCAATTTTTTTTATTTATTTTTTTTATCATAAGCTAAGATAGATACTCGTTATAGGGATGCAAAAATCTATTTATAATATAAAACAATTCAAAAAGGCAATCTAAATTTTAAATTATATTTTTTTTTTTTAAAATGGCAATATTCTCCTTGTTTCAATAAAAACAGATACAAGTTGCTAGTTAGCTGCTTCTCCTGTTTGTTTTCACCATTTTTGTGACCACGGTCCCGTCCCTGGCTAGATGAAAGCAGTGAGAAGACGGTGTTAGTATGTATTATTACATTCGGTGTTTCCAAAAAGTCGTCGCCACATAACCAGGATAGCTTTCATCATCGCCCGACGCCTGTGGCGGGAGTTCGAGCCATCTTTGCTGTGTTTAAAATTTTCGTCGAAACTGGTTCCATGGTTCTCATCGCTGTGTGTGGACTGCGCGCGCCAAAATGACCGCGGTTTTTGCTGTGGGGTCGCGGAAGAGAAAGCAATGTGCGGAAAAAGTCGAATGTGGATGAGAGCCACGGCCTCTGTGCTTGGATATCAGACATATAATTTGAATCCACGGACGCCGGGATTCGGGGGCTATTTGGAGGAGTTTTCTCGTGGTCTGCGATATCCGAAGAACACCTATGGAAAAATAGGCCACAATGAAATTGTAAGGGTTGTAGAATAGAGTGTGTTAGTCTGTTTCGTAACTTGTTTCACGATTGGGCGACTGGTTTTGTCTGCAGGGCCCAGGACTCGTGAGTGGGTTCGATAACGTACACATCTATTTTCAAAATTTTCATTGTGACGTTTTTTCCAATTTTCATTTTTGTGTACACGTACTGTTGTTGTGTTTGCTTCC